TTATTTTTCAGACAGCCATCACAATCTGTTCGGGGAACTATTTTTCTGTTGCTTTTAGAAATTTAAATGGTAGAAAACTGTTTTTTTTTAACATAAATTGTTAAAGCGTGGTGGCTATCAAAAAACTGCAATCTAAATTTTCAAAAATAGAATAAATTTATAATGGCCACCACAACTTCTCAAAAAACAGTTTCTTCTGCAATAGTTTCATAGATGTTTCTTCAAATAGTTGTAGTTGCCCAAAACAGACCCTTAGTATCAACAACAATCTTTAGGGCTATAATTCTATCTCCAATTCTATTAATTTTTACAACATAATCTTTCAAACTCTTATATATAATTATACCTACATTTCTAGTACGACTCCTACCTGAATACCAGTTTAAAACCTAAACAATAATCTCTTTAGTTATTTCCCCAACCCATTTAGCTTCATGAATACATAATATATTTATCCTTTTATGAATCATAATATCTACTAATTCCATTATTTTACCTGTGAGAATGCACATATTTCAAGAATCTATCATAATATTAATTTCATGGGCTAACTTCTTTGCCGCATCAATCCATGTGGGAACTCATGCATATTTGACACTACACCGGGGCGCCAATGTAACGACCCTTACACACTTTTCACTCTACTCAGGTCATATGGTGCGTTGTTTCTATGGGACATACTAGCATTTAAAAAATGATTTAAACAATTCATGTCAATCTTTTGACAAAAATTTTATGCTGATTATCGACTATCTAACGCAATCCTCTATTTTTCGTATCCAAATAGGTTTTTATATCTAGATCTATCAGACTTGCAGATAGATCACACTAAAAAACTATTGGAAAAAATGTGGAACTCACTCAGAATATTAGTTTTTCCTCTACTTTATATTGTCCCACGGTTGGATTACAATTTGATTTCAATCAATAAGCTTACTCATGTTACGAAAATTGTAACTAAATTTCTTGCAAACTCTTATGAATTTCAGGTAGTAGAGTCTGAGAAGATGATTGGCAGTGCTGAGACATATCAAGGCTTATACCTGCTCAAGAAAAGTCTCTCTAAACATAAAAATGATCTCAACTTCATTTTTATCTCAAATTTCTGAGTCTAATTAGTCTCTCTAAAGATAATCCCATACGATCATGTTATGGGATTATCGTATGGGTCACCCTAATTTTAATTATGTTGCAAAGTTTTATCTTTATTTATATATCAATAAAACTCTTAATTTTTATAAATATGAGATTTTATCAACTTGTCAAACACACTTGAAATAGTTATCCCATGACCCAGTACAAACCCTCAAACCATTTTTACATTATTCACAATGATATTAGGAGACCTTAAGATGAAAACTCTAAGTGGGGCTAGAAGATTTGTCTCATTTATTGACAATCACACTAAGGTATTTCTAATGAAGAAATATGAAACAGCAAAAATCTTTGACACGATTCAAACTTAATTCTAATATAAAATAAAGATCCTCAAAACTAATAATCTAAGGGAATATTTCAATATATCCTTACGTATTATCAAAAAATGAAATCAACCATGTGAGTTCATACATTGATACCCCTTAACAAAATGAAACGACTAAGAAATAGAATAGGCATCTCCCTGAAATATTCTACTCAATTATGATTTCCCATCAAATTCCAAAATATATTTTGGCGAAATCAATTCTTACTTCAATATACCTTATCAATTGAAGTATTAGTCGGATACTTAACTTCAAAGCACATCATCATAGTTAGATGGTATCAAGCCTCATATTAGAGCTTTCCTTTCTACTATACCGCATAAAATCATCGGGAATGTATCATTTGTTCACATTCATTCTCAAAATCGCATAAAACTTGACCTAAATCTTTCAAGTGTATTTTTCTTGGGTTTGCCTCTAACAAAAAGGGATATAAGTGAGACTCTACTATTACCAAAAAATACTATAACTCAAAGGATGTCACATTTTTTCAAAATCAATCCTACTAACCTAAATCGGATGTTAAAAGGGAGAGTGAAAATGAACATCAATTATGAGATACACTTGATGACACCTACATAGCCTCACTACCTAATCCAACTAGCCCTCATATCCTGACATTGGAGCTTTCCTTTCTACTATACAACATAAAATTTTTCGGATGTGTATCATTTGTTCACATTCATTCTCAAAATTGCATAAAACTTGACCATAAATCTATCAAGTGTATTTTTCTTAGATATGCCTCCACAAAAAGGGTTATAAGTGGAACACGACTGTTACCATAAAATGCTATAACTCCAGAGATGTCACATTTTTTTAAAATCAATCCTACTAACCTAAATCTGATGTTCAAAGGGAGACTACAAATGAGCATCCATTATGAGATGCACTTGACGACACCTGCATAGCCTCACAACATAATCCAACTAGCCTTCATATCCTAGTTCAGGATGTCCAACCAACCCAACCTGAAGTCTATAACAAAGAACATTGCATGAACACGAGAAAGAAAACCCTTTAACAGGTGAAAGAACACTTGCAAGGACAGATTTGTTCAAAACAAAACTCGAATTCACATTCACGTAAAATTCCAGCTCAGAAATCTAGTACTCATGAGTAATCCCCTTCCTCTTCCGATGTGGGTGACAAGGAAATTTCTAATTCACGAGTTTGTAGGGTATGGGAAGTTATTCTTATCCTACAAAGCTTTTGTTTTTAACCTTGATAGAGCGCAGATTCCTAAAATGATTAATTTAGTTCTTGTAAATAAGAATGGAGGAAAGCAGTTGAAGAGGATATTCAAGCACAAAAACATAAAGGCACATTGATTCTTACTAAGCTCCCTCGGGATAAGAAGTTAATCAGATGCAAATTGGTGTTCAACCTCAAAAACCAAGCAGATGGGAGTATTGAGAGATTCAAAGTCAAATTAGTTGTAAACAGTTTCACTCAAGCCTATGGAATTGACTATTATGATAACTTCACGCCAGTTGTCAAACTAAACACTATCAGAGTTTTCCTTTCAGTAGCAGTTAACAAAGAATGGGGACTGCATCAAAAATGTCTTCCTAAATGGGGAAGTGGAAGAAGTATATATGGAGATAGCACTAGAGCTTGAGAATAATTCCAATAAACACAAGTATGCAATCTTAGAAAGTGTCTCTATGGTCTTAAGCGATCACCAAATGCCTGATTTGAAAAGTTTGTTAAGATTATGAGATCTAAAAGATATTCTCAAGGTTAAGTTGATCATACACTATTTATAAAACACATTCAGAAAGATAAAATTGATGCAGTGATAGTATATGTGAATGATATGATTCTTATTGGTGATGATGAAAAGAAGATTCTCAATTAAAAAAAAAGTGCTTGTCATTGTGTTTGAAGTCAAGTACCTAAGAACCATGAATTTTTTTTCTATAGGTATGGAAGTAGAGAGGTCTAAGAAAAACATCGTTATATCACGAAAAACATGCATCCTAGATCAACTAAAGAAGAGAATGATGATAGAATACAAGTCTGCTAATACTCCAATGGATTCCAACAAAAAGACTAATAGAAGAGAAGAAAGTGTATATGTGGACAAGGGAAGATATTAAAGATTCGTAGAAAAACTCGTCTACTATCACATACAAGGCCATATATTACAAACTTTGCAGGCAACAAAAATATGAATGACACAAATGACAAGCATTTGGAGATATTATACAGGATTCTGAAATTTCTCAAGAAGACTCCTGATTATAGATTAATTTTTGAGAAAAACAGAAATAGAGGTGTAAATGTCTGCACTGCGACAGTTGGGTTGAAGAACTCACTAAGAGAAAATCCACCACTATTTATTGCTCCTATGTATAGGGAAATCCGATTACATGGAAAAGTAAGGAGCGAGATGTTTCTAGAAGAAGAACAAAATCAGAGTATAAGTTACTCGCTTTGAGCATCTGTGAAGCGATTTGAATTCAGAACTTAACAAGGGAATTGGGACGTGCCTCCAATAGGCCTATACATATGCTTTATGTTAGTCACGCAGTTATCAATATCGTCAAATATTGTCAAGAATCATGTTCACCATGACAGAACCAAGCTTATTGAAGTTGATGGGCACTTCATTTTTCAAAAGGTTAATAGTGAAGTTATACAGTTGAACTATATCCCAAAACGCCAAGCTGCTAATATCTTAACCAAAACTCTTCCTTTGAGCCTTTCAAATTTCAATGACAAGCTTGGTCTTTACAACATCTACGACCCGCTTGAGCGGGAGTGTGGAAAATTAGGAAGTAATCGGCTGCTTCCTTTGGTGAGTCGTCCCCACCTATCTATTATGGAAGATTGAATTAGGAGATAACTTTAAAAACTCATTAATTAATTTTATTCTCTTCCTATCTATGTTTTTTTGCTATTTTTATTTCAAAATAATTTCCTTTCCAAATTCATATTAGAAATATTTGGTATGCATTTAAACTAGGAGGGAATTGTTTACCTATATGTACCCTACATGTGAACAATTAAAACATACATATCATACCTTCAGGTCCACAAATTTTAAATCATATTTTGAGTTGACTTACAATATAACTAATGAAGTTGAAATTGATTTCAAAGAGTGATGAGCGAAATTTTAAAATTAATTATTTTTAATAACCCTATATGTTATAGCTGGGCCCTTAAATTCATAATAGCAGTTATTCTTTAGAAAAATGGAACACTACTGTGATGGACAGTAAAAACACATGCAAAAACACTCCCACATCATTTTTCTCATACGAAGTATAAAAAATTCAACGTGTCTGCATTTCTCCGTGAGTAAATATTTTAGTTCATGCAAATTAAATTTTCAAAGACAAAGGAAAGTAAAATGTTTCCTTCTAAGCAGTTTGACCTAAGTTTATAGAAATGATTGATAGTACAAGCAAGAATTACAAGAATCTAAAATGCTAAAATTAATTAATCAGAAGAAATCATGTAAGAGTGTGTGTGTGTATACAGAGAGAGAGAGAGAGAGAGAGTCACCTGCTCTAACACATCCAATTACATTGATATCAACCTGCTTATTATGCTCCTCTTATAAAGTCGAGGAATAATGAATTCTGCTATACCTGAGAAAAAAAAATTCATAGAAAAGTGAAAACAAAGCATTTCAGTTAAGTCTATTCAGAAATGGCAACAGAAACAAAATTAGCATCATTAATGATGACTACTCCGCCAATCACAAATATAAGATTTCCATTGACAAAAATGATTTTTGCATTCAGGCCCACATATTGATAACAAGGGTGGGTGATCATGACTCTACAGCTAGGAAAGACCACACAAGATCTTCCTCATCATTTGCCTTGTACCAACTATTTGGGGTCAGTTTTATGAATCCTCAATTTTTAGTTATTTCCACTCAATATTACCTGAGGTGTTAATGCATTTTCTTTGCAAGACAATCTCAAACCACCTATATTAATGTTACAAATATCTCCCCATTTTTCCTGCTCCTAAATTAATTTTATATACTCTTCTAAGGTTTATTCCCCACATTTTATAGTACATGTCTAAATAACATCAATTTATTTTCAATCACCTTGCCTTTCAATAGATATAACTATTTGCATTTCTACTAAGCTCCATACATATCAACCATCTTTTACTACCCAACACTCAAAACCATACAGTATTGCCGGCCCAAAAAGCGCTTCATAAAATTTACCTTTAAGAATCTATTACATAATCATATTTCATAATGCTCTTGAGATAGTTCTCAATTTTAACAACAAAACCTTAAATACAGAAGTTATCTCATCAGCTACATCTTCATTCTTTTATATAATATATCTAATATAATAAAAGTTTTCACACAAAAGTGGAAGGATTTTTTTTTTTGATTTTGTTGAGGGGCAACCATAGGATTTCTATCTAAATAAACAGATAAGGCATTTGAAGAATAATATATTATCCCCAAAGATAGAAATATTACCTTCGAATAGATCTAATCATTCCAATGAGGAAAACCTTTGGGATTTATGGATCCACGGAACCAGGATTCTTCCCTTACTTTATAGGTGTAAGATAATTTTATTTTAATTATGGGATCTCATTAATACGAGGGCATGCTCTCGTATTTAATTACATCTTTAGAGTTGTAAGCACTAAATAAAACCCCTCGATTAATATGATAAGTCAAGTTGCCACAGATCGAGCTTTCATGATTGGAGGGCCCAAATTGGAAGAATTAAGTTTCGAGAGATGGGACTTACGATCCGGTGACATGTCATCGAAAACGCCCATGATATGGAATAGGATTTCATTTTTAAAAGTATCAATCAAAGAAACTGACGATGAATTTGGACTGATCAGATGAGGTCAAAAGGTAAATTATGGATGTGGAATTTGACTGACAGAGACAATTGAAAACCCTATACTAAGGATAAATTTGGGTAGGGAAGGATTTCTAAATGAGAAGATCCTAGACTCCATAAGTTCTATAGGCGGACTAAACTAAATTTTTGAAATAACGTCTCCGGTCAAGATGCTCATGACTTTTGTCGTCCCGGGAACTTTGACTAGCCCATAACCAGAAATCCTCCATCAAATGTGGGAGCATAGAGGATTGGTAGTTTCGAAGCAGTCTGAAATACATTCGTCGGTAACCATGGGTTGCTTCATTCTAAGATATTTCCTTAGTCTAGGGGTTGGTTTGTTATTTGTATGTCCTAGTCCTTAACACTAACTAGTACTTGAACTAACATAGGCTTGTATACTAAGACTAACCTAAGGTAGGTGTGTGGCCCTCAATTCGGTGACTAAGTTAGCTGAGCCTAAAGTTCATGTCAGATCTTCCTAAATTTCGTTTTCGTTCTTTATCTTGGTGTGTTTTAGATGTTCATTTAAATTTCAATATTTTCATGAATATTTTGTTTGATTCCTAGGTTTTGTCAATCATATTAAAAAATCTGAGTTTTCTACATTTTGTTTTTTTTTCGTTTTATTTGTTTTATTTGAGATTTGGTTTCTTTTGAGGTTTACAAAGAAAACTGAGGGGTTTTCATCCTTGCTTTTGTTATAAGTATATTTTTTTGTGTTATTTTTGTTTTTAAACATAAAATAACACATGAAATAATATTTAAAGCGTAGGATAGCATGCGAAACATGTAAAAAAAAAGGAACATGAGCTAACATGTAAAATAGCATATAAAATACAAAATAACATGTATTTTTAACTTTGGATTGAACTTGGGTTAAGGTTGGGAAGACGTAAGTTGATTTTCCAGCTTAAGTTAGCTCAAAATTGAGCTAAGGTATGATATAGGTTAGCTAACTTGGGTCTCTGTTGGACCTAAGCTAGCTCGGGTTAAGTTGGGTTTGATTTAGGTTGACCCGGGTTGAGCCGCGTTGATTTGGGTTTGACTCGAGATAAGATGGGTTGACCCAGGTTGGCTTAGGTTTGAGTTTGACTCGGGTTAAGTTGGGTTAACCCGAGTTGGCTTAGGTTTGGTTTGGATTTGACTCGGGTAAAGCTAGATTTACCCGGATAAAGTTTGAGTTTGACCCGAGTTATGCTGGGTTGACCCAAGTTGGCTTAGGTTTGATTTGGGTTAAGTCTAAGGTTATGTTTGACAACCGGTTTAGGTTCATGTTTGGGCTAGATTCTAGTTTAGGTTTAGGGTTTAGCTTAGGGTTAGGTCAGGTTTGGGTTAGCTTCAAACTGGGCTAAGTTAAGGTTCAGGTCAGGTCCAATTTGGATTAGACCTAGGTCAAGTTAGGATTGGGCTAGGTTTGGTTTGGGTTAGTCCTGGGTTAGGTCAGGGTTTCAGTTAGGGTTTGGATTAGACCTATTAGGGTAAGGGCTAGGTCTTAGGTTAGGGTTTGAGTTAGACCTAGGTTGGGTCAGGTCTAGGGTTTAGGTTAAGGTTTGGATTAGACATGTTAGAATCAAGTCTAAGGTTTAGATTAGGGTTTGGGTTAGACCTGGGTTGGGTTAGGTCTAGGGTTTAGGTTAGGGATTGGGTTAGACTTGTTAGGCTCAGGTCTAGGGTTTAGATAAGGGTTTAGGTAAGACCTAGGTTGGGTCGGGTCTAAGGTTTAGGTTAGGGTTTGAACTATGTGAGTTGGGGTTAAGCTGGGTTCGGATTGACTTGAGTCAAGCCCAAACCCATGCCTAATCTAGGGCCTTTGAGTTGATTGACCTAGCTTTAAAGCTTTTAAATAAAAATGTTTAAATTAAGAAAAGAATGAAACAGGATTTACTGAGAGGAGAGGAGGCTGACCGAAGAATTGTTTCCCTTCATCTTCTCCCTCTGCACTTCTTCATCCTCTACTAATGGTGCCCGAACAGTTTCAAGTCCAGTGTAGTGATCCCCCCTTTTATAGGTGGGAAAGGCGATGGTCGAGCCTCCCGGAGCCGTCCAATAAGGTGGCAAGTCGACGGTGACGATCCACGGATCGCTGCCAGCAAAAGGGTGTGATGATTTGTGGTCTGATCTGTAGATGAAGCCCACAGATAGCTGACATGAGAAGTCGCTTTACCTGGGCGTGGTCACACCCAAGCCTGGTGAGACCACTAGACCACTCCGAGGTACTTTGGGGCATAGTCGGGCCCAAGCCTGGCGTGACCATGCTGAGGTACGTGGTCACGCCCGGGCCAAGCCTAGAAAAAGGCAGACTCCCCTTTTGACCAATTTTGTTGTGTAGAATCAAGGGATGATGTCTGTGCAAGACTTATGTGACCAAAAATGAGGTCAACAATAAGTATCACTTTATCTTTTGATAATATTGATTGATAATACTAAAATACCACAACAAGACGAGACCTTGCTTGGCCAAAAATCGTTCTACTTGTGCAAGACTTGTGTGACAAAAAATGAGGTCAACAATGAGTATCACTTTATCTTTTGATAATATTGATTGATAATACTAAAATACCACAACAAGACGAGACCTTGCTTGGCCAATTGTTAATTACACTCAAGTCAACAAGCTTATGTTTATGAACAAGTAGAACGATTTTAAAGAACTATACTTATTCATTACATATATAATATATATATATATATATATATTAGAAAAATATAATATCAAAGAGACCTCATATTTTTCACAGTTAGTACTCAAAGACTTCAGCATGAAATCTTTTAGGAGGATTAATATATATATATATATATATATATATAAACAGTAAGGAACAAAAATTAGGAAAGGGAACAAAAATTAGGAAAGGGAACAAAAATTAGGAAAGGGAACAAAAATTAGGAAAGGGAACAAAAATTAGGAAAGGGAACAAAAATTAGGAAAGGGAACAAAAATTAGGAAAGGGAACAAAAAACAGAAAAGGGAACAAAACAAGAACAAAGGAGTTAACTCACTCAAGATTCCTAAGGTGAAGACCTCAGAGATGAATTTGATTTTGTAGGGATGGATACCCACCCTTTAAACTATATAACTTAATTATGTTACTGTGAATTAGAGTCTAGAGTTTTGAGCAAGTGGACTTCAGAGTAGCTTTCCAAGTCATCAACGTTATTTAGGATATCAGAAGTGTCAGCCAATTCCAAGCATCCTCTACTCCCTCCCTCTCATCAAAAACTTTGTATCTGAAATCAAACATGCAGGAATCAAGGAACCAAACATAAGGCAGCTTCACCATCCATAAATCTTTACCAAAAAAAAAAAAAAAAAACAATTCATAATCTGGACAGCAGAATACATCATCTTGAACGAGCCCTTTCCCAACACACCATTATACTTCACAAAATGAACACTGAAGATTCAATAAGCAAGAAAAACATCACAAAGAGATCACTTTTTAAGATCATATAACACGTTTTGCATTATTAAGAATATATAAATCAGAAACAATACATACCCGTCCTTATCAACTGCTGAGAATGACTTTGATGATCTTGTATTCATTTTCGACACCCTCATGATCTTGATATAGTTAGTAACAAATAAATTTTTAGGGATACTCCTGACACTTCAGAGGTATCAATCATGCAACACTAATAATAAGAAAAATAAAAACCAAATGTGATTTCAAATGATGACTAAGGCTGTTTTCTATTTTGAATATATTTAGACAAAATGTTTAAGCTGCAAGTCCATCTTTTATATAGTAGAAAAGAAACATACACCATATGAAATCCATCACTGCATGGACACATAATAAAGTAGTAATATACACACTTCGTGATATGGAATTATCTTTGGTAGCCATCAAATATAAGAAGCCAATTTAAACTAAATTATTAGCATTTATTTGAATTTTGATTGAAAAGTGCAATGCACAACACACCCCCCAATTACCTGGAAAGATGCCTTCCAAATATCTAGCAGAATACATTCTTTCTTTTTCTCTTTAGCTCTACATGAACAAATCAAACAAGTTATCTAGTGTACTACGCAACCATTTCTCCAAAGTAAAACACCCCCTAATGAATGGCCGATCAATAATTCAAAGATACTTCCATGCTACTTCACTCTTAGATTTCATACTGCAATCAAGAATTTTCAGGTGGCATATCCTGAAGGCTCTATTTTGTAGCTCAAGAGGCAATTCCCTCAACGTGTCTGCTATGGCAAAATCATGTCTTTCTCTAAGATCATCAATTTCCTTTTGTTGCTTAAGCAAAAGTTCCTCTAGTTTGAGTATAACAGACTCGAGAGCTTTGGACCCATTCTCTGACAGCACATTAGTATCATCATTTCGGAATGCTTCCATTTGGTTTTCAATGGAATCAGAGATAGTAGATTCCTCAATAAGCTCCTGGGCAACCAGACTACTGGAGGACAAGCTTTCTGAAGCATGATTTTTTTCTCGATAGCTGGTGATGGAATGCCTCAGGCTTCTTTCCCGTTCAACTAAAGCAAAACCTTGAGAATAATCATCCCGGAAATATAAATTATCTTTCATCTCCAAAACATCATCGCTGTCACAAGGACTTAACACCAAATTTTGTCCAAAGGCAGAGTTACTACGTGATCCATTGGGAAAATCAGACCAATATTTTTTCCCAGCAGGTAGTCGTTCCAACAAAAGATCGCCAGTAGCATGAGTCTCATCTTCAGCTTTAAAATCTTCTTTATTTGATGGAGCCTCATTGTCAGGATCTTCACCAAGGGTTCCTGGAGCCCACCCAGGAAAATGAACTTGTATTTCTGCATTGATCATATCAGCAATGGTGCTTACATCTTGATCAGTAAGATCTAACTCTGCAACCATTTCAGCAGCCACACTAATGCATGTGTCCGCTTCAATATTAAATGGAAAGTGGATATTGTGAATTTGACCTGGCAGCACAACTTTCACGTTATCAAAAAACAACCAATCCAAATGATAATATAAGTATCTGGTGCAAAACCTGTAGAATCTGCAATCCTTAGCTTCAAAAAAAGTGTTTTAATATCTTTTCTTTGACCTTCCACCGTGCAGTCTATTCCACCTGTAGATGTTTCTTGCATGATGGTATCTGTGTCATTAATCATACATTAGGAACAAAAAAACAAAATTAAGAGCCATATGAAATAAACAACTTCATAGATATTTTCATAATACTTCTAAAAATTTCAGTCTAAGCACAGAGTAAAAGACAGAGCTTGTCAGGACAAAAATACCTGAACTGTTATGATCTAATGGTCTGGAATTACATAAGATATCATTTTCGGAATCCATTTGAAGAAAGGGATCCCTCAACAATTCGTCAGCAGACATTCTTTCAGAAGCATTAGCAATACATTTCTCAATGAATTGTCTTATCCCAGGGTCCTTCACCTTGGTCAATGATGCAGGCTTGATACCCTTCAAGAAAAAAAGAAAGGGCATCAATAAATAACTATACAGAATGTTGCTGTATAGTACGTATGTAGAATCCCTGGCAATAATATGAATGAAGCCTATGTGTGAGCATATATTTTAAGGAAGATAAAAAAAATAGAAGAAAACCCAATAACTAGCGTTGTCAATATGGGTTAACTAATCGGACTTAAATCTGACCCAAAATTGACCAACATAATTTGAATGACCCAACCCGAATCTACATGAACCAAACCCGAGTTGTTTATTAAATAAGTCAGAAAGCCTAACTTGAACTCAGCCAATCTTCAACACAGCTATCCTGAACCTAATATCTCATTTAACATGAAGCATAATAGTCATTCAAGTCAAATTTTAGTAATTTCCAAGATTTGAATTTCACAATATGGAGTTAAGGTGCTTTTTTCCAAGAGGGCAGGCAAAGCCTCAAGGTATTTTAAGGCATAAATCTCAAATTAAAAAATTATCTATATTAATAAATATTATATTAAATATAACATGTAAACTATGAAGTAAGAAATAACATATTTAAATTCTAACAAATTAACAAATTAAAAAAGTGATATGATGACATTTTAATAAAGTAAAAAATAATTAATTGAGCAAAGTAAAATCAAGAAATAAGATCGGTTATACAAATATTAAACAATAAAAAAAAATTTAAGACATCAAAATAAAAGATTAAAATATCAAATCATAATAATCAAAATAAGTTAATCATAAATCTCACTCTCCAACTCATACTATACCCCCTCCCCCCAACCCTTCCCTAGGACTGCAAAACAACCGAGTCAAGTCAAGCAAGGTTGTGTTCAAGCTTGAGCTTGCTTATAAAATTCGAATGAGTCAAGCTCGAGCTTATGTGTTCAAACTTGAGCTTGTTTAAAAAATTCGAGCTCGAACTCTAATCGAGCTTTGTGTTTATCTTCAAGCTTCGAGATTGGCTCTTTCTCGTTTCATATGATGATAGTTGAGTCATTATAGAGCAGATTAATGAGTAAATTATGAGCTACTTAATTTCAATCTAAAACATATTTATTGAGCAAATTAAAATTAGTACTATAGTATTATTTATTTTCTAAATAAATACAAATTGTTCAAGATCATTAATAAAAAGGAGCATGTTCTTTAGCCTCATTCCTAAAGCTCCCATGAACATAGGCAAGTCAGGAGGTCAACAAACGGCTTTGTTATTGCTTGATATAAATTTAATTCCAGTACAAATCTTGGAAATCAAACAAGTTAGTACCAGGACATGTAGATAAGCAAGATCAAACTTTTGAACAACAGTATGTTAGTGAGCAAGCTTTTTAGTTGTCCGAAAAATGGCTTGACAATATCTTGAAAACATACTTGATTATAGCCTATTTATTTATTATTCATTCATTAGTAGCATCCTATCTGCCAAAATCTTTCACTATTTTCATTTCAGTCCACATGTGCTAAGAAAAAAAGAGCTGCTTCAATAAGCTTGACTAGTAAAAACTAAAAAGAGTTAATACGATGAATGATCAACTATGTAGAACTCAAGTCACCCATGTCTAACTAAGCTTAATTAAATCTTGCTTTTGATTTATAATAAGAAAATAAATAAATAGGCTCGAACAACAACTTTAAAGCTCAACTTTAATCAAGTCAAGCTTAAACAGGGCAATGCCTGACATTGGCTTGTGTACAGATATAATTTGCAATATCTCTGCTTCAAAAGAGTTGATATCACAAATTTGCGAAAAGAGGTTGCTATCCATATAAAGTACATGGCATAACACAAATATAACTTTAAACTTCCAGTTCCCAATTGTTTTAGTTTGTCGGCTTTAGCTGAATCTCTGATCATAATTTCTCTTATTCAAGCACCAATCATTCTAAATAATCACTTTATTGTTATTCGGAAACAAATGCTTTAAAATGGCTGGACACAGCTAATATCAAGAAAAACCCAAAAAGTGTGCTAGTAAGAAAAAAAACAAGTAATGAAACTTGCGTGATCCTTAAGACACGGGTGAGATGAAATATAGCATGCCACTCTACATGGGGGTAAACTGAATTTCTTACTTGACAATAATCTTTTAAAAGTAAAATAATAGGGAAGGGAGGAAGATCATTCTTAAGAAAAAAATCCAAATAACTAGGTCAAGGCAAATAACAATTAAATGTGCTATCATAATTGATTATGAAAACAGTTTGCATGAGTTTGGTTTTATTAATTTTATGTAAATATAGAAATAAATTAAAAAAATATATCATAATAGATATATATCTTATATAAATAGCATATTAATATATTTTATGTACATACACATTTTAATTTGACTTGAAATGTATGAGTTAAATACTTAAGTCAAACATGAAATCGACTAGAAATAGATTAAAAGTTAATAATGATACTTCAACTCAAGCCAACTTTTGAGTGATTTTGGAATTTTGATTATAGATATGTTATATTACATACATATCATATATACATTGTATAGTGCATATATTACATGTATGCAATATTTTGAGTCAGATTTTGAGTTGACTTGAAAAGTATTTAAGTCAAACTTGAAATCAGCTCAAAATTAATTTATGGTCAATTTCAATTTAATTCAATAAGATTACATGTAAAACTATAATTTTGAAAAAGAAACAAGAAGAAAAACACCATAGTGATGGCCAACATCATAACATGCATGAAAACAGACGGCCAAAATATATACTGCAATAGGTTTCCATACTTCCCTATGTAAATCTAAATTTCATGTGAATCAAATTTTAGTAAACCTTTTAAAAGAAAAAGAATATAATATGTTTTCCACTTTTCCTTCTAAGAAAAACAACTCAAACTGTTGAATCATTATCTGTTACAATCATGATAGTTAATAATCTCAAATGCTGAATTTAATCAATCAGAATAAATTACGCAGGAGTGTACCGAAGTCACTTTCTTATATATTTGTGCTGCATTTTTACATTCCGCATATGGGTATTCAAAGGTCACAAGTTCTAACAAACACATCCCAAATGCATAAATATCAACCAGCTCATTATACTCCTCTTCATAAAGTTCAGGAGCCATGAATTCAGGAGTACCTGAGATAGAAAAGAAATTCATCAAAACAAATAAAAACATAGCACTCAAGTTTAGCCTAATTTGCAACAGCAACAGAAGCAAAACTAGCATCACCAATAAAAAAAAAATGAAAAAATTAAAAATTTAACAAAAAAAACAAATAACATGCATCATCAATGTTTTCTCCACTCACCAATAACACTATGGGCTGAGTGACATTGGCGTAGAATGGCTGCCAAACCAAGGTCACCAATCTTAACCTCTCCTTGATTTCCATTGACAAATATGTTGTCACATTTCAGGTCCCTGTGAATAACAGGGGGATCATGACTATGCAGGTAAAGAAGGCCACACAAGATCTGCCTTGACCAATTCTTCAGTGCTCTCAAGTCAACATGCTTATGCTTCTTCCGATATCTAGAAGGATTTAAAGAAATAATCATTAAAATCTGTAAACACAAAATGTTTAACAGAAACCACAAACGGAATAAAGGAGGAAGAAAGAATGAACTGACTGGCGCAAGGTCCCTGAAGTGAAGACCTCGGTGATGAAATTTATGTTGTCATTTTTCGTGTCAACCCATGAGCTATAGAATTTAATTATGTTCTTGTGTTTTAAAGTCTTCAGCAAATGAACTTCGGAGTAGAGCCTTTCCATGTCAGCAGCATTTTGCAGAACATCAACAAGCTTCACCTGATTCCAAGCAACCTCTATTCCCTCTCCCTCATCAAAAGCCTTATAGCTGTCATGCATAAGCCATTAATCAAAGAACCGAACTTAATGCAACTTCGCCATTCATAAACCGAAGAACAAAATGAAAAAATAGGGAGCACTTTAAAAGATAGACAGAATAATACACAGTCTTGAATGCGCCCTTTCCCAGAACTTCATTGTACTGCAAGGAAAACAAATATTTTTACATACTAAAAAAAATATAAGATCCAATGAAAAAGGAAATAAATAAAAAAATTGTCATTTTCTTAAATGTCGCATATCAATCAGAACGAAGAAAGGCACATGAATATAAATAAATTTAAGTAAACCAAAGGAATCGATTCAGAAACATTCCGCACCCGTCCGTAGCGACCTGTAGGATCGACCTCGACGAACTCGTTTTCCTTTTCGTCCCCTCCAGACTCCGATGACGAATCCCCAAGCATTTCTTCCAAAATCCGATATCCAAATCACAAAATGCTTCAAAAACCCTAATTCCAGATGGAAAGTTGCCAAAACCTCCGGGGCTTTGAGTCCACTTCGAATCCCCAAACTGGATCGCTTCAGATATGAATTTGTTCTACAGAGCGATCATAAGTTTCCAAATAGGATCCTCGGGTTGCTGGTTACAAACGAGCAAATATTATTTTCTAGTTTTAATTTTGGGGTTTTTAACACCATCCAAAACATTTTTACCAGCCCAACATTCCAAAATTTTCACTCAAATTATCCATCAATGAGTTTAGAAATGTGATTATAATAAAAAAATATTTAAAATATTATTATTAAAATTTGGATAATTAAAATATTATAGTTAATATTTTAGATGGTTGATATATAAATATAATATTCACGCCTTATTTTGTTTTGACCCAAAAATTTCCTTCTCATTCTTCTTCGAAATCCCTTTCTCTAGATCACTCTCTCTCGGAAAAAAAAAACAAGGGAAGAAAAAAATGAATCGAAGGTGGAGAAAAGCTGAGAAAAAACACAATGAATCACTATGAAAATATTTACATTGAAAAGTCTTTGTAAAATAAAACATATAAGAGCTATCTAAAATAAATCAGACCATACTCAACCCGAAAAAATATACGAGAATGATCCTGTAGAAAAACCTTTGTAACAAAATCAAATTCAAAATCAAATTTATTTTGTTCTTGGTTCAAAGAGACCTCCTACGACGACATATCCTTATGATCAATACTTATTATATGTTGTGTTTGCTTAAGATAGTCCTGAAGTATAGACAACAAAAGATATTATTTGAAGAGGGCCTACGGTACATGATACACCTAAAATATATAAGATTTTTAAACACATTTTTATATCTATTTTTGAGTTATCGCGCTTTAATAGAATGTATTTTGTGTTTTTCTAACAGATACAAGTCAATGAAAAAATGTTTAAAGGTGTGAAAAATGATCAAATTTGGAACAAAAATGTAAAAAATTGTGCAAAAGAGTTTTGACACCTAAGCGCCCGATCCGGCACTTACGCACCGGTTAAATAGAGAGGGTCACGCCTAAGCGCCGAGACCCTGCGCTTAAGCGCCAGTGGCCTTTACTAGACGAGTAAAATCAGTTTTCATGAATTTTGAAGAGGTTTTTGAGGCATCCATTGGCTTAATAGGTGGTTGTAACCACCATGACGAAAATTATCATGAAACGAAAATTATCATGAAAGGATACATCGAATTAAGACACATTTTGAAGAGATCCCAAGGCACCTCTTCATT